ACTACTACTACTACTACTACTACCACTACAACTACAACTACAACTACAACAACAACAACAACTACTACTACTACTACTGCTACTACTACTACTACTACTACTACTACTACTAGTACTACTACCACTACAACAACAACAACAACTACTACTACTACTGCTACTACTACTACTACTACTACTACTGCTACTTACAACTAGTCACTATTGCTTCTGCTTCTGCTTCTACACCACGACCTCACAGTTACCTGGTTACCTAGAATCTCTACCGCGGTGTGGCCGGTCCCAACTCGTTGCCTCCTCCTCCGCCTGCCCGGACTTGGCCCAGTCCTCTTCTAAAAGGCGCCTGGCGAGGTCTGCAAACAAGATGCAGGCGTCAGTAGGCTTCAGCAGTTAAGGGTCTTCAAGGGTCCAGGGCCGTCAGGGGTTTGTGGTGTGTTGGGGTCTGCAGCGTTATAACCCCCAACCAACACTATGCTTCATGCTCTGTTTTCCGGAGACTCTCGCACCTGTTGGTTGGGGCGAACTCAGCTTGACTCCTGACCGTGTGAGCAAGTGACAAGTGACAGTGAGCGCACTAAGGCGTAAATCCTATTCAACTCTGAAACCTTAAAACTAAAGGTACCTGGTAGCGCTTACAAGGGCCCGTGCAACAAGGATCCCACCATGATTTACGGTAAACAACAAAGTTGCAACGGATGTATACGTGATCATCGAACCCTTAGCCTCGTCCACGAGGTAGGACGACGACTTTTCCTGCACTTAATTCCCAAGTAGTCGCATCCTCAACGAACAAACCCCTCGTAAAGACCCGAAATAAGGATCCGCTCAAATACCGTACCTCGAAGATTAAGAAGCCCTCCACTAGACCTTTGTGCACTGAAAGCTCGGTCCAACGGTGCTGCTCTGCCCTCTCAACACAAGACGTGGCAAGGCGACAAGACCTGAGACAAATACAAACTCAACTGGCTTTCAGAGCAAGAAACGTGCTCTACGCTACAAGCTTACGGGCCACTTATCTTGGGACTTCAAGGGAGTACTATGGCTAAATAGTCAGATCTCGTGTCGTTAACCAGGTCCAATTCACCTGTACAGCCTATCACAAGAGGATCGGTACTGACAGGCTCTGTACCGTGTTTTAGGGGTCCTTAATGGATTTAGGGTCTCAATCGGGTTGCCTTGTTCTCCATTCACTTTTTAGTGTACCTTTCGGTTCACACTAGAGCCTAGCCGTTTTTGTGTCATGGCTTGAAGTAAAGAGTGTCTCGATACTGAGAGCTTCATGTGGACTTGAGCATCTCTGCAACGCGCCCTGCAGCAGCGAGGCAGCTGAAGCTGAAGCAACTGCACAGCTGGGAGTCAAGAGAAACCTGTCCAACGGCCTGGTCCTCAATTTGAGGTTTCCTGCTTCCTGCTTTGCTCTGCCAGCAATGCCGGGCGACAAGCCTAGGCCCTGAAACTGCTATGCCACCGGGCGACCAATGGGAAGGGCGCTGTGGCCATTTTGCATCGATGTCGCGCCTTTGGGCAGTGGCTGTCATAGAGCTGCCAGCTGCTTCGCTGCCTACTCCCTGGTTACAGCTACCGCAGGCCAAAACGTGAAGCAGCTTCTTGAGTCGATCCGTACAGGGGGTATGGATGGATGAGCGCTTCCAACCTGCTCATGAACGAACTAGGCAAACTAATTGTAATCGATCTGAGGCATCATGTTGGTTTTTCAGGCCGAATGTAGACTTGAACAGAAGCGAGTATGTTATGAATGTAAACAAGTATTAGTGACCTATGCATTATCCATGTCTGTTTTCCAAGTTACTGATGTATGTATATCTAAGTTATGTATTTACGTAGCTCCGTACATTTTTGGCCCTGCAATGTCAAGACCAGACAGGCCTTGCGAAGGGCGGCCAGCTTCTGCACATTCCACGTCTGCGCGCCCTCGCCTCTTCAAGAAGCTCCCGCACGGCACATGTGTTTGCTGTGTTTGCTAGAATTTAGAAGCTCGCGAACCCAAATTTGACCTGAGTCCTCAATGCACCCATAGACAGGAAGCAATCAGATGTAGTTGTACGCCACCGACCGTCAGACAAGCCCTTCCCACAGAAAGGCCACAACAGGCCTAGCATCCACAGCGGAAGGTCCTCGCAGAAAAGAGAGGACAGCAGAGGCTTCACAAGCGCGAGGAGTATGCCTATGTAGAAGATGGGATCCCCAATCTGAGTTGCTGGTAATACGCCCACATTTAAGGGCTCAGCGGAAGACCAGGGTTTGCACTGGGGGTTTGAGCGTCAAGAAGCATGCGATGGGCACCTTGGAAGACCGTGACGGCTCCAGTCACACGGCCCTTGGTCCCTCAGAGCTGCGTGCATGCAGCTTGTATTGTTTCTTCTTGAGGGCAGTTTGGCAGAGATATATGGACGAGCAGCACCAAACCCACCTAAACGTCCGACATCTTGCGCATCCCAAATGCCGCCTGACTTGAGGCCAATATCCGACAACATTCCTCGACGTGCACATGGCGGAAGCCGTAGTTCCCGACAAAGCCGAACTCTGCCTGCTATCCTGAAGCCCCACAAACCTTCAGTAAATCCCAATGAAGACCGAATGCTTACTGTATTGGGCAACATGTGAACTCGAAGGTATCCCCTGCTGTCCACAGCTGCCATTGCCGCCCAAAAGCGGCGGAGTGCAACAGCGCCAACGCCCTTCCACGGAAAGTGGAGCAACACAGCCCGGTACCCCTCATATTCAGAAGTGCTCAGGTAGCTGTATGGGGTTTATAAGCATGGCAAAATACTTTCAGTCATACTACGAAGCTCACTAGAATTGAAGGAATATCACTTAGCTAAGGGGCACTACATTGGACCTAGTGTGTTGTGGGCTTCACGCATCATCCAACTCTGCATTTCGAGCGTTTCGAAGAAATTCCAGTCGCTTCTGCACTGGACCGCAATGATAAGGGACCCGTGTTCAAGAAAGCCACATTTGGGCCACCCAACCAAGCCCGAAGCATGTATGAAGAGCCACTGAATCACTAGGAATTCTTGACTAAGGACCAAGTTCTAAAGCCTGGAGTGTTCGGGTTTGCGTCTTGTACTGTGGGGTAAGTTCTAAGCTTGAAACGCGTCCTTGCAAGGATGTCCCAGAAGCAACCGCTACAAAAGTGCTTCTGCGACAAAATCAACAGGCTCTCTCTTTCCGCGCAGCGCGCACGGAGGCGTCTGAAGGCGAAGTTTCGACCTCTGCGATAGTCCTGTTGCGGTTGTTAGCCGCTCCACCCTCTTGAATTCAATAGTTACAGTTACACATATTTACATATAGTACAAATGAAGCATCATGGGAAGACATAGTCAGCAGCAGCTACTTCAATTGGAAGCATAAGAGGCTGTGGGTCCCATTTCTCGACATGCAACCCCATTCATTAACTCCTGATCCATCAAGCCTGTCTTGCAGGGTGGCGGTGGACGCGCATCCGGTCACACTTCGGGAGCCCAGAGCCCTCTTCTCCAGGGTGGTGGCTCTACAACTCCTGTAGAATCCAATAGTATTTCCCTGAATTTAAACTCCAAACCCTAAATCCCAAACCGTTCTGAAAAGGCTGCTGGGTTCCCTGGGTGGAGCTACGGCTCAACTTTGGGTTTCCGCAGCATCCAGAGAACATGGCTGGAACCGGGCTCAGCGCGAATGATCCTCACAGATTTCAATTGAAATGTCGTGCTTCAAGCTCGCATGCCAGCATTGTTGGTCGTGCTTGGGCGCTTGGTTGATGTTATCGCAATTGATCACACTGTATGGTGACCTGCACTTCTTTGAAGCCTGCCTTCGGTCATTCTGACATCTGCAGCAAACAGTACATGAAATAAAGTTCATCTTTTGGTTTCGAATCCTACTCATATGCTATCGCTTCCAGAATGAGGCCAAAGTAACTGCACGCGAAACCCCGAAGTGCCTCAAAGTCTTCGAGAGTCTTGAAATTACCCCATAGACTCGCAGATGCCGAAACCCTCAACCGCAAAAGGCTCGGAAACCCCAAAACCGTACATCAACCTCTAACCTTGTAGCCCTAAGAACATGAAGCTCTGAATCCCTAAATTTCAAAAAGCGGCATGAAGTGAGGAGACTAAGGACTACTCCAAATCAGGCTGTCGAGGGTGCAGTCCTGAACTCTGGCGGGTCAGCTTCACGCGAGTTGCGGTGCTCCACAAACCTCTGCACGTCCTGATCGACTGTGGAATGCAGGACCATCCACAACGGACACAAAGAGCCCAATGTCCCTCAACTGCGGAATATGCCAACAACACATGTTACATGAAGGCTGGTATCTATTGTTTCATTGCAGGGTAGCAGGGGGGTCGCGACCATGGAATAAGCAAGAAAGGAGCTACCGACCTTGCAGACCACAGGCCCTGCTTCTGAAAGCCCTAGAGTCTCCCCGACACTGTTCAAACTATCGTTCGGGTCCTGTCTGACAGCCGCCCAGCCGTAGTCGTCACCAAACCTTCGGGGGTACGAGCCGGAAAACATTTTGCGAGGTAAGGAGCATCACAGCTAGCAGGGGTCCTTCACAAGTGGAGGCCTGCAAACAGCTGTCAATCCCAGCGGAGATACCAGTTCCAGGGGAGTGGCTTCAGCCGCAATGTTCGTGATGCAGGTCAGTCAGAAACCCGGTGCGTCAGCAGAAAGGCTGCCGCATCTGCCAAACTTCCAGAAATGCTGGCTGATCCCACCCTTCTCTACTGACTCTGAATGCTCGTGTAGACGACGCTGAACTTCGAGCTCCGTTCGGCACCATGCTTGTGAAGCCACGTGGCATGATGCCACCCGGCTCAAGGATGTCGTAGTAAAGCGACAGCTCCTTTCACAGATTTGCGCCCGAAAATCCTGAACCTGGAGGCCCCCCAAAACTGTTCATAACCGTTACATAAGCATTACGCATTATCCAATTCATGGAAATCGCGCTTCGTTCTTGCTATCGGATAGATGGCGCGAGTCTTCTGCACCGGCACTGTGGGGATTTGGGGGTTGAGGGTGTAGGGCTTCAGGATTCAGGTGCTAGGACTGGTTGTAAGTTCTATAGGGGTTGAGGCTTCACCGATACTTCTTTTCGATTATTCGCCTCGGCCTTGGCCGGAGCGGTCAGAGCCCTGAACCCCTTTCCTCTGTCCGCAGCTTGCGCTCCTCTCCATCCCCTCCCCACTGACCCACTGACCCGGCTCCAAACCTGAATACCATAAATTCTCCCAGCCGTAAGCCTCAAACCTCTCTAACTCCCAAAACTAACTAGGAAGACAGCAAATTATACCAGCCTCGACCCCAAACAGCAACAAGTGGGAGACAAATGAGTAGCG